GTGCCACATAAGCTGCTGTGGGCAGCATTCGATTTCTTCCATGTTCCAGAACAGATAACAAAGTTGATTAAATCCTGTCAGCCGTCTAATTGTTTTTCCTGAATTGACTGATGATGGTGATAGCACAGTAGTATACATTTTCTTGTATACAAATATGTTAACATATTTGGGGGCGGCTGTAGAAAATTCTGCTGTGATCTGATTGGTTGACTGAGTCCTGATAAGAACACCTGTGGTGTTCTTATCAGGCTTACTAATCAAGCCTCAGTCTCAATGTGTTTGTGTGTGAGAAGCAGTCTCTTTACTCATACATGGCCTGTGTGGAATTGTTGTGTTGTTGACAATGTAAGTTCCTTTGATTTATGTGTAATGTGATTTGTTTATATTGAAGTATTTCGTTTCTTTGATCGTCATTGGATTTGTTGAAGTTGATTTAGACTTCATGTATGATTTGTGCTAATATGTTTGTATATACTAATTGTTTCTATTTGTTTATGGGTTATCAGAAACCAACAATTACCAGCACTTGTTACCATGGAAATGTCTACTACTACATGTGGAGAAAATAAACTGGAAACATGAGATTGATGACTGAATGAGTTTTAATGGACTCACCATTCTGGTAGCAATAGCCAAACCAGCATAATATTCCTTCCAATTTTCTACACCTACATGTGGTGTTCTTAGATCAATGCCAGTGCCTTTGGGACAGTGCCACATAAGCTGCTGTGGGCAGCATTCGATTTCTTCCATGTTCCAGAACAGATAACAAAGTTGATTAAAACCTACTTTCGGGATCTTCAGGTCTGCATTACCATACAAGATAGTACCACCACCTGGCAGCAGCTGGAGGTTGACATTATGGCAGGTTGTACCATCTCTCCACTGGCATTCACTATGGCAGTGGAGATCATCATTTGGGCATCCCGTTGGGTGGTTGGAGGGGAACGTTTGAAAAATGGGTTGTGGCTCCCTCCAATTAGAGCATACATGGATGATATGACTACCATCACAATGACTAAAGCATGTACTAAGCGGCTGCTAGACAAGCTCCAGGAAAACATCAGATGCGCACAAATGGAGAATAAAACCCAGAAAATCTTGGAGCATCTCCATTGTCAAAGGCCGACTTACTAATGACAGGTTCTGTATAGCAAGAGAGCCCATACCAACGGTCATGGAAAAGCCCATCAAAAGCCTTGGACGGTGGTACACCGCAGACCTTAAAGACTCAAAACAGGTGGAACAACTCAGGCAATACACAGTCAGTGGACTTAAGAGAATCAATGGTACAGCTCTTCCGAGGAAGTTGAAGCTGTGGTGCTTCCAATTTTGTTTGTTGCCATGGCTTATGTGGCCAATTTCCATATACGAGCTTACTTTATCTCACGCCAAGCACCTGGAGAGACTGGTGAGTACACAATTGAGGAAATGGATTGAGCTACCAAAATGCCTTAGCAACATAGGGCTGTACGCCAATGGAACTCTCTCTCTTCCTATTTCAAGCCTTGTGGAGGAGTGCAAATGCGCAAAAATGAGGCTGGAGATGATGCTTAAAGAATCCCGCGATCCCTGTGTAAGAGTTGCTGCTCCAACATTGGTGACAGGGAGGAAATGGAATCCAGTTATAGTAGTTACAGATGCAAAGGCAACCCTCAGACACCGGGATATTGTGGGGCAAATCCAATATGGTAGAGGGGGACTTGGGTTGGGAATAATAACACCTAAATGACAAAGGGCAACAGCAAAGGAACAGCGACACCTGGTGTTGGAGGAGGTACACCGTCAGGAGGAAGCAACTAGATGCGCTAGAGCAGTCTCCCAAGCCCGACAAGGCTGCTAGATGAGGTGGGAAGGTATAGAACGGCGTAAAATCACTTGGAGTGAGCTGTGGAGCATGGTAAGTTTTATCGTGAGAGCCACATATGATGTGCCATGATGTGCCCTCTCCAACAAACTTGCAGGTATGGTATGGACAAGACCCAGCGAGTCGACTTAATCCACAGACTCACTTTCCCATTTGAAATTTCAGTCACCAATCTGCGCCCAAACCTGGTTCTCTGGTCCAGCTCAAGAAGGATCGTCATAATAGTCAAACTGACAGTCCCTTGGGAAGAGACCATTAACAAGGCCTTTGAAAGGAAGAAGCTGCGATATGCCAACTTGGCAGCTGAGGCAGAAGAGCGGGGCTGGACAGTGAAAGTATACCCGGTGGAAGTGGGCTGCAGGGGCTTTGTGGCTAGTTCCACTATAAGGCTGCTGAAGGAGTTGGGCATCAGAGGAAAGGTCCAGCGGAGGATAATCAGGGAACTGGCCACTGTCGCTGAAAGAAGCAGCCACTGGCTGTGGCTGAAGTGGATGGACACAGTGTGGGCTGCCAAATGACCATGTAACAAAGTGACACACACCCGGGTCTGATCAGCCTGTGGTGGGCCTGACTCGGCAGAGGGTGTCTTGTGATAAAGGGCCAAAACACCCAATGAGGCTGGGGTACACAACTGATGATGTGTTGCATTGGTGGAAACACCATACCATGAGAGGATTCACAAGCTTGCTTAACTCAGCACTGAACAAAACGTTTTGAGTGGTAGATATGTCTGTGATTGGCTACATTGCTCAAAGCTACAAAAACATTTTGTAAATAGAAACCTTTGAAGCTCTTCTTAGCACAAACACAAAATTGCAAAACAAAGTGTTTGCAAATCTGTTTCGCCAATATTCTGTTTTTACAGCCTCAACAGAGGGTGCTCTTGCTTTCATTTGAGGGTGCTTAGCACCCCTGTAGTACCAGGCCTGTAAGCATTTAAAGCAGTAGTATGTAATATTGAGTGCTAGTGATTGAAATGGGAACTGCAGTCCAAATTCAAAATATTGGAGAGAGTTGTTTCTCCCGCACCCTCCTCTTCAAACTCAACGATCATGCGGGTTGCCAGATTACAGACAATCAACAGGAATAATCGTAAGCTTTTTAGAATCTGCAATCTCTGACCCAGTTTCTTTGTTGACTTCCATGGCTACAAAATGCTGTATTTTCCACCAACTGACAACCCGGGTTGTCGAAATACGATTGAATAAATCGGCACTGGCGGGATCCCACAGACCAAAATAAAAACAGACGTTCCGACACTGAACGCACATTTCAAAGTAGAACTCTGAAGCATTCTGTAGTCGTATCATTGTTTTTCAGAGAAACAAGTGTGTGAACTTAGCATGTCTCCTAAATATCTGCAGACATATTATGGCATTTGTATTTTATACATTCCAACAAAAAAAAAACAGTAAGTAAACTACAACTACTGTAAATGTAGATTTTTTTTAAATTTCAAATTAAGTATTTTTTTATTAGATACTTTGAATTTTAATTGAGAAAATGTTGACACAGTACCCATGCTTTAAATTTAATGTAAATAAATTTTCAGTACTTTTTGCACTCCTCTCTGTAATACACAGAAACTGAAATGCATTCATTTGGGCATTAATTTACTACAAACCCCAACACCCTGTGCCTGATTCTCTCTCACCATCCGTCTCTGTCCAACTCTGCTCATGTTGCCCAATGGACACAAGTTCTATTCATTAAATCTTCAGAAAATCAATTATGGTAATGGTCTCTTTTGCCATGGGAAGTGTCGGGTAGCTCAGCAGACTCACAGATGAGCATTTTACTTCCCTTCAAAGATTTAATTCAGATCTCATTTAGATGAAAATTTCCTCTCAAATATATGAGTCTCTCTTTATCTTGTACACAGTCTAGCCTGGCTGGATTTTGATATGAGAAGAGTTTGTGTGGCATTCTTCACACTAAATTAAATTTAAAATTGTTTTTGTACATTTAAAATCTGAGTGTATGTTAAGAGTTGTATGTTTAACCATCAGTTTGGCTGGAATGTGTAGTTTATTGCCCTATAAAAAACATTTAGTACACACTCTTGTACTTTTGTCAGATTTTTAAAAACACTTTAAAATAATTTTTTCCTGTAGAGAAAAGGAATGGGAAAATAGAAGTGGACAGTCCCTGTGTTGTCTGTATTTGTACAGAAATACAGCTATACAGAAATACAGTTAATGAAGCATTAATATACGGTTACTGTCATAAAGCACATAGATGTCAGAGAGATAACTTGACAGTTCTACGAAAGCATTGTTCTAGTGTAACTGGAGTAGTGACAGCACAATAGTTGTTATAGAACAATGACTCCACAACTGAATTGCAATAGGTCATTGATCTTAAATAATTATAATATAGTAGTGACAGCACAATCATTAAAACAGAGCATTGACTGCACAATGTCTACAATAAAGCAGTGTCAGCCTAGTAGTTTTCACTGAGCAATGACTACACACTAATTATGAAGTATTTTTACTCTGTGTAATAGAGCAGAGAAAAGACATTTGTACTATTTTGGCAACCCATACACAATTGATTTTTAAAGCAGTGCTGTAATATAAATTAAATACAGTAGTTGCTTTATGTTATTTGTATTAAAACGGATAATTGCACTACTGATACTGGTACTAATACTGATACTAATACTGGTTTCACACTACAAAATCAGTATGCACTCAAAAATATTTAGGCCTAAATTAAAAATGTATATATTTGAATTGAATATAAAATTTCCATCCATTTGGATTACACAGTTTTAACATAAACTAATAAACTTAATATGATACTGTACATATTTGTCAGTCATGCATAAATGAAAGGGGTAAAAACAGGTTTGTTAGTTAGATTAAAACATGAAACCAAGATTGATTGAATTTTATGTGCAATTCATAAACATAAATCTTAAATTTAGGCCTAAATATTTTTTGAGTAGGTCATCCTGGCATTGTTCACTTATGTTGAACCATATATAATGAACTACTAATATATATATATATATATATATATAAGCTAGACAAAAAAGCCTCCCATCTAGCTCTGCTTTGTGTCTATTTGTATAGTGGAGCTTAGTATGTATTTAATTTAACATCCACAAACTATCTTTTGTGTGTAGGCTCTTAAGGACACAGTCACTAGAATGGTTCTACAATAATGTGAAGAGTCTGTTTAAGAGATTTGGCAGTGCCAAGGTGCTGAAGACCCTCTACAGGAAGCACATCATTGAAAGAGGAGCATTATCTGAGTTACCAGGTACTAAATACACACATACATAATGTACATACATCATGCAGTGTGTGAATAAAAATACTGTGTACTACTCACTTTATCTTAGTAATATATTTGAGTAAATTTACTTTACTTAAGTATCTTTTTGGCTGCTTTGTAATTTAACTGAGTATCGAAGATATTAGCATCTTTTACGCTCTATTTTACTATATTTTTGAATAAGTATATGTATACTTTACTCAACTACATTTGCAATGAGTAACACAGTTACCCATTACATTTTGCATAGCAGCTTACTTTTTTTGCAGCAGATTATTTTTGCTAAAAAAGAAGTGATATCACCATCTACAGGGTACTGAAATTAGTACATCTTGTGCGTTTTGTCCTTACGCACTCAAACTTGACAAGTTTAACTTTGCGACCATTAAAAAAATATATGTTCTATATAGTATGAATGTTGTTACGTGACCTACCAGCATCAGTTGCGTTGCTTCACTATCATTCATAAATCCTCTTCAGTGGCCTCATGGAATAGTTAAGTGCACACTTCAGAATCCAGAGGAAGCAGTAGGTCATCTGGGTATTTTTCCCCTACTGTTTTTCGATTACTGTGAATTCGGACATTCTTTTCTTTTGGCGTACTGTTTTTCACTATAGTAAGGATGTATTCGATTTAGGACACAGAGCATGAGAATGTGAGTTTATTAGCAGCTAGTTGCTGAATCACAGACGTTTCAAATGAGATGTGAACATTAGTTGCAGCCAGTGATGAGGTTGAAATCAGCACATCAAAGGCAAGTAGGCTTTAAATAAATTTTATAAATAAATAAATTTACATGGCACCTCATTAATAAAACTCATACATTCAGACGGCAATTTTTTCAAGGTGGAGGAAAGTTCTGTGATCCTATGCGCTGTTCACATCCTATGCGCTGTCAGTCACATCATCGCCTGCTGTAAATAAAACATATGCTTGGAAATAATAATCAATAAAAAACTAAAAATAATATCCTATTTAGTATTTGATTATTTAATTCTCCTGTTTAAAAAAACAGGAAATTAGATGTGCTATTATTTGAAATGGTTATATGTCTGCATTTTATCTCTCAAAAAGATATCATTAAAAAATGATGATGCAATATGATGAATGTCATCATCTTGTAAACTCAGAAATATGAGTTTGGATGGCAATTAAATTACCACCCAACCTTTTACTTAAAGGGTTAGTTCACCCAAAAATGAAAATTAGCTTGTGTTTTACTCACCCTTGAGGCATCCTAGGTGTATATGACTTTCTTCTTTCAGACAAATCCAGTCAGAGTTATATTAAAAACTGTCCTGGCTATTCCAAGCTCTATCATTGCAGTCAGTGGGAGTTGCAGTTGAACAGTCCACAAGTCGTCAAATAAAGCACGCGCATTCATAATAAACGTGGAGCGGGGTGAATAAAGGCCTCCTGTAGCGAATCCATGCATTTTTGTAAGAAAATATCCATATTTCACGAAGTCCAACCCGGGGTCATCACATGTGGTTGCTGCAAGCCCGCCAGCTGACGCTCACTCTAGCCCGCAGTGTGTGATGCTGTGTGATGCATTTTATGGAGGACTGTTTCCTGAACCTGCAGTTCTGCATAGCCTACAATGGGTCTGTGCTCAAAGGTTGTTCTATAAAGTGGGGCAGTTCCAACTTTGCAAGGACAGTCTGGCGCTTCTGACTCACAGCCTGTAAGTACGTTTTTTATATTTAAAGAATTTGCCTCTGATGATTCAAACGCGAGTTTTAAGTAGAGTAACGTTAGCGCTTGTTTGTTTGTCATTTCTCCGATCACAAATACAGACATGGTTTTATGTTTACGCAGCGCGATACGCAACGCAACGCGTAAAAACACAGTATAAGTCATTATAATCAGTAATTATGTCCCCACTGGATGCAACAATTTCCTCATTTGTAATGGGTTTTATTGGTTTTGTCTCGTCGTGCTGGGAGATGGCATCACAGTATGTTAAGGGATGCAACATTTCCGTCACACGCTTGAGGTATTCAGCAAATCACAATGCACTGGATAGCTGGCCAATCAGCGTACACCTCGCTTTTCAGAACGATGACCTTTGTATAAATCGACGTGTTTCAGAAAGGCGAGGCATATAGGAGCAACAATAATGTACATTATGTGGAAAATAATGTGTTTTTTGAACCTTAAACCACATAAACACATTGCATTACACCAAATACACAACATCATGTTCTTTTTAGCAATGTCATATGACCCCTTTAAACTCATATGGTTTAAACAGCATGATTTCAGACCGATAAACATGATAATCAGAACCAAAACAGATGTTTTTAGTAGGGATGGCTGACGCTAAACTGACGTTTCGACACAGTGTCGAGATCCCGAAGCGCAGATGTTTCGAAACACTGCTCCGAAGTGTGATTCGAAACACCCATGTCACGTGACTAAGGCGAATCAAAGCATCTGGGCATTTCACTAGTGTTTCGAGACCCGAATCTGTTTTTGATCGACAGGGTCGGGAACAAACCACACAATCGCACATCTGTCTTAACCTAACTCCCGCAAAGTATAAAACTGGAGTTAATGCAGCAGAACAATTAATATATTTAAATAAAAATCTTTATATGTAAAAAATGCCAGGCGTTGTGGCTTGATGTGTTTTATTAATGTTAATTTTTTCATGACCAAAATAACATATTCACAAAGAGTTCATTCAGTTGTCAGAGAGAT